GTACATGCATTTTTAATCACTATCCTGTCTCTACTAACTTAAGTTTATTATTATCTGGATTGGCAATAACTGATCAAACAGCAGACTATAACGTATTTTTCTGATGTAACCTGTATGATATTCAAATGTGCAGACAGGACTGTGATTTCACATTGGCTCTCTAATTTTGACTGACTTTATTCTTTATTCATGAGGGACAACTTAGCTTAGCATCGCTGTAATTACATGGATCAATTAATATAAAATATCACAGATATGCAGAAATCACCCATATGAGATTAAACAAAACATATGTGAGACATTTTGCTTTTGAGTGTCTTTATTACCTGCATGATTCTGTCCTGAGCAGCAGGGGTTCGTGGGGTCCGTAGGCCTGTTGCCATGGTATTGGTGACACTGTATTCTGAGAGGAGGGTGGAGGAGGCGGAGTTAGCGCTTTCACTCTCCTCGGCAGCTTGACGGGCGACCTCACTGGCGACACCCAATTTGACAACTTCCTCCAACTCGGCATCACTGATCTGTGAAGAAAGGCGAATTAAAAAACTGAATGTACTACCTGTTATCAATATAACAAGTACATTATATTGATATATAAGTGGTTACCTGTGGTGCGGGTAACACTAGTTTGGAACGTTTTTTGGTAAACTCAGCCACTCCGCTGGTCTGCAGGATGGCAGATGGCAAGTCACTCTCCTTCTTCTTCTTTATCTTCTGTTTATCTTTCTTCCTCTCCCTCTCTTCAGTCTCACTATAAAAAACACAATAGGGCTTATGAATGGATGAAGACAAAAAAATGTGGAACACATTTTGATCCTTATTATTTATATTATATAACAATAGCGTGACATTCTCACGTCTTCACTGGGAGAAGCAAAGAAGCAAGGAAAATATTCAAGTGACATAAACAAGGAGCCATGTTAACATACAGAAAAGCACCAGTAGTTTAAAGTTATACTAACTTGCGTAATTCCCCATCCAGGTGCTGCTGTCTGAGCCTCTTGAAATTAGGCTCCTGAGCATCATACTGCTCCATGCTGGTGTCATAGAAACCCTTAAAGT